TACCTCATCTGTGATGACTTCATTACAAAATGGCATTTACACAATTGTTTAATAATGCCATTGCATCTATTATTTAAAGTAAATACAGTGGAATTCTGTGCATTGCATTCAAAAACTGAAATTTCGCTGTACTATAAATTTGTTCTGAGACTACTTTCTAAAAGCAATATTCATGGTACAGTGACTTTATCGAACCATAAATCCAATCTAATGGACTAAACACACTTTATTCTTTTTTGTAAAAATTAATTATATTATCTTTTATATGATCTACAAATTTCCAATATTTGGCATTACATTTACAAAGAGGTTTTTCACTTTCTTTGAGAAATACTTTTTTTATATAGGATCATTCAAAATTGTACAGTTTATTTTTTTTAACACAGGTAATGTTTGATTTACAATGGAAATGGACCCAGACATTTTGGTTGTAAGTTGTTGAGTTAATCAATGCATCATGTTACTGGATACAATTTTACAACTATTTTTATAATGATCATGTAAATGAATCAGCATGTCCAATAGGGTTTGTTTTGCATTTTTATGCTGGAAAATGGCAAATAATCCTGAAAATTGCAGTCATGTCACCATGGGATGCTGCAATGAACTGTAAATGCATGCCAGCTGCTAGGTGTCCAAAATGTGATCACTTGACCACAGTATGTGTCACAACTTTGAGGATGGGTCATCACTAGTATTTTTGAAGTCCATAATAATTTTGAACGGTTGTTAAGAGACCAGTTGCAAACTATGGATGACTTATATCAGATATTATTGGAAGAAATGAAACCAGTAGATAAATTCATGTGAATTATAATGTTCCTCTTAATAATCTACCTTTAAAGAAAACCTGACATATAGAACTGGTAAATTCAAAAATGAATGTAAAATTCTAAGACATTCAGGGGGAGAAACTTCTACCCACTGGAACAGCTTCTGGAGATCTGTATGGCACCCTCCCTTTCTAATACTTAAGAAAGCTGTGAAAATGTAACATTTTAAAATTTTAGATTAATAGAATTAGGTAACACAATTTATGTAACTTACGATACGGCTTTCTTTTGTTCTTTTTACTGATTATTACATGATACACAGGAAAGATTGCCAGATATTTGTCCAGTGTGTGATAGTATAAATATAAAGTAAATATATAAACTCAGTTTGAGAAGTGCAGATTTCTCTTCTATCTTGCTTTTTTTCCAGTTAGCAGCTTTAAGAAGGCATTTAAATCTGAGTATTATTTGAACTAAATTTCAGCTGTCAGTAAATGGAATTATTTCTTGTTTAGAAAGACTGAAATGAAAGAAATGGCTAATGATGTGTGCATGTGCACTAGGTGGTCCTATGCTCTGCATGTCTGTTCTAGAGAACAAAATATAGTGAAATAACAGCAATTGTGTTCTTTCCATGTCAACCATCTGACAACATCCAAGATTATGACAAAGGGCAGAGAAGAGAGCAAGCTCAAAGTGCATCACTGAAGAGAAGGCTGGTTCCCTCAACTTTGCTATTCTAAGATCACTGTGCATGAATAATGCTAGTAGCAACCTACTTTAAGCTATCATGCTGAGAAGGGGAAACTGTGAAGTCTAAATACTTCCAGCTTTTCTAGGGTGTAGTTACACGAATCACATACCAGTACATTGTTCTTCGTGCTACTTCACATGCACACACTGCAAATGAACTGACAGTCAAAGGATCCCACTGTGAAAACCTAGGCGACAATGATGACATTGCCCGTAACTAGAAAAAGAGTTAGTACTGCTAATTGATGCAAATAGGTAGCAACCAGTCAAATATGTATCAAATATGTCTTTGCTACAAATCAGAGATATTATAGAGTAGCTTACTGCAGCATATTGCAACCTCTATCATGACCAGGGTGGATAAAAATCAATGATTTTTTTTAAAAAAATAAAAAAAAATCAGATTTTTAAAATTTAAATCGGATTTTTTTTTTATCGAATTTATTTTAATAAAAAACTTTTGGGGTAAAATCTATCATAAGATAGTTTTCTATTTAAGATACATAAATAATTTAGTTTATTCAGCATGAAATTGAGCTGTTATGTAACATGAGGCTGTATATTCTGCAACACTGGGACTATCGGTGAGTCAACAGTGGATCAAAGGAGTAGCAGAGATGACAGTTGCTCTTTAAAAATTATGATTTAAATCGAGTTGATTTAAATCAAGCCTTTTTACTAGTGATTTAAATCATGATTTAAATTGTCCCCCTGATCAAATCCACCCTGATCATGGCACTATTAACAAATTAATTTAGATGTCTTTTATGAGCTTAAATGGACTCCAGAGGATGGTAGAGGACAGGAAGGCCTGGAGGAACATTGTCCATGGGGTCGCGATGGGTTGGACATGACTTTGCAACTAACAACAAAAAATATGTCTTTTAACTGTTCCACAAAATATGTACGCTGCATCTTTTCTTTGAAATATAGTACTGTTGATGAGATCTTAAATAATAGGTGATGAAGTTCTGGATGCTATAGACACAATAAACAATACAGAAATGCGTTCTATGCATGGCTATGCAATCCATTTTAGGGTTATCACGTAAATCCACTTTTGTTGAATGGTTAGGGTTGCTGTATTGTTTGAAATACTTTTCCTGTTGTTTGAGCCACTTCATTCCATGGAATGATATGATTCCCCTCCCCCCGACTATCTTTGTAGTTGTCATAGATAAAACTCGTGTTTTAAAATACAGGAAAAAAGGGTAAATAGTACAGGAAAATAAGGTATATAGTTTTAAGGTAGAGAAAAAATAAGGTAAATGGACCATGATAGTTATTTTAGAAATAGATAATAAAAAGCCATGGAAATTTGAGGAAACATATCATATCTGAGGAAGAGAAATTACATGTCATTATATTTCAAAGGCTAATCGAAATTTTGGGAATAGAAGCAATAGCAAGATGCTTCAACTATGTAGCCCAAGATGGTTATATTGACTTGCAGCAGCTCAGTAAAAATATGTACTCATAATCCAGTTATAGTCTAACTAAAGTATTGACATATTCAAACCATTTTCTTAGTTTTAATCCCATGTTTCCTCACTTGGTGTTTATAATTGCTGCAAACAGCACAGGGTAATCTAGGATTGTGTTCACATTGCCAACTGTAGAATTAGCAATGAAAACAAAATGTACAGCCTCAGTAAAGAAGCTTATGAGGTAAGAAGCAGCTAATTGCTCAATGAATGATCCTCACATCCTGGCTCCTCCTCTTTCCATCCTGTGCATAAAAAAAAAGATTTTAGAATAACAGAGTTGGAAGGGACCTTGGAGGTCTTCTAGTCCAACCCCCTGTTTAGGCAGGAATCCCTATACCATTTCAGACAAATGGTTGTCCAGTCTCATCTTAAAAACTTCCAGTTTTGGAGCATTCCAAACTTCTGGAGGCAAGTTTTTCCACTGATTGTTGTAATTGTTCTGTCAGGAAATTTCTCCATAGTTTCCTTCCATTGCTTCTTGTCCTGCCCTCAGGTGCTTTGGAGAATAGCTCAACTCCCTCTTCTTTGTGGCAACTCCATAGATATCAGAACACTGCTATCATGTCTCCCCTAGTCCTTCTTTTCATTAAACTGGACATACCCAGTTCCTGCAACCGTTCTTCATATGTTTTAGCCTCCAGTCCCTTGAACCCAATTATTCCATTAAAATACTGTAATCATTTCTGGAAGCAGCTTTGTTTTGTTTACTGTGTATATAGCCTTCTGAATAATTTTATAGAAAAGAAATATGTGAAATAAATGGGATTTATTAATAAGAATAATTCAACAGACCATACAGTAGGATAACCCCCCATCCCACCCCATTCAAGACTGCATGCAGTTACAAACAACCACCTATGTATATTGCTGTTATTGTAAATTCTTTGGGAGTTTTTTTTTTTAAATAAACAATATAGAACTTTTAACAAACAAACCAATAAGCATGCAATGATACTGTACAAAGTGGTCAGGGCTAAAATTGTTAGGTGTTCACAAATTTTATAAAGGAGTTGGAAGATTGCTCATTTTAAAACTGTGCCTATTTCAGACCTTATACAATAGTTTTCATTTTGTTCTGTCAAAATTATGGAGACTGTAGAAACTATGCTGCTGATTTTTAGCAATTTTCTGACATTCAACTGTGCAACCAAAGAGAATTCTAAGAGGTACAAAAAGTTATTTGTTCCTTCTGCAAATTTCCTTTAATAATTAATATAATTTGGGAGCGTACCAGTGATAATAATTAATACAACTACCATCATTAATTTTCCAGTTAAACTATGGATTGTGTGGGTTAGAGGTGAATTGTATACTGAAGTTTTTGTATTTATTGTGATTTTTATGCAAGTGTTCCTGAGTCCTGAAAATTATTTTAAAGGTTCACCCACCCAGGCTAAAAAGGTTGAAAAAGGCTGCACCAGAATGATCCAATTTCAACAGACTCATTTCCTAAAACAAGCCTCCTTTCAGCAACTGTGCCATGTAATTCTTAAAAGGACAGTATAAATTCTATTATCAGAAACTGCATTAGATCAGTTGCTATAACCTTTAAGACAGGGGTGGGGAACGATGGCCCCTTTATGACTTGTGGATTTTAACTCCCAGAATTCCATGCTGGCTCAGGAATTCTGGGAGTTGAAGTCCACAAGTCATAGAGGGCCATTGTTCCCTACCCCTGCTTTAAGAGATAATATCTAAAGTTATCTTAAAGTAAAACTTCAGGCAAGCAACAGTTTAACAACTCTTACTGAAACTTAATCTTTAGAAACTCAGAGATGTTTCCCCCTTGCCCTCCATCCCATCGGAAATCACTCATTATCCTATATATATTAGTAACTCTGGGCTTGAGGCCAATTCGTTATGTCAATCCTCTCATGACATACAGTACAACCTACTCCTAAACCAGTAGTACAGTGAAATGAAAATTTCAAACAAGTCGTCAGTATATTTTCTCCCATCAATTCCCATCAAACCAATATAATTTTACATATTTCTATCTTTTTTCATTAGCGACCTACTTCAACTCCTACATGCTATATTTCTTACACTTCTACAATATTTGATGGTAAGTAGTACCTTTATCTTAAGCATACTCATAGTGCTTTCAATATTAAAAGTTCTCTTCCATTGTTTTCAAAAGAATATTATGAGCATGGCAGGAAGGGGAATGTTATTTAATTATTCATATAGTACTAAGTATTTCCCAAATGATTTTTATGATTATTAAGAAACACTTTAAAAGCAAATGAGGTTTTCACTTAAAAAAGGAATTATGTTTAACCTTTTACATTAGTCTTTATATGACGTAGTTCAGTTCAGAAACTTTGATAGCCTTTTTGAGACAGTGCTACCCAGATTTATTTGGTATAATATGTTAAACAGACTTCAATATTAATTAGAAAAGGGATAAATTCTGATTTAGAGAAAGGCTTATTTCTTTATTTAAACAATTTATAAGGCTTCCCATCTACCAAAAGTGGGAAGTATATAAGGATTAAAATCATCACCGTTAACAGTTAACAAAAACCAAACCCTAGACAAAACAAAAACAATCTAACTCATAAAGAATACATAATCACATTAAACAACAAAGCTCTCCTAACTACCCAGCCCAAATGTTTGGGGGAACAAGTTGTTTCATGCCTTACAGAAAGCTAAGAGGTTCAGGGTCAACCTGGGAGGATGTTATTCCATTGGGGAGGTGTTGACACAGATAAGGCATGAGTCGAGGATCCAACGGGTAATATTGCTTAATAGAATGAACCCCGAGTATATACCTTACTTGCTAAATCTGATGGGGCGAACAGAGACAATGGGAGATAAGCGGTCTCATAAACAGCCTAGGCCCCAAGCCATGTAAAGCTTTAAAGGTGACAACCAGTACTTTGAATTGTACTTAGAAGCCCATTGGGAGCCAGTGCACCTCACAGAGGAGTGGTATTATATGGATTACCGTGAAACACCCAAAACAGGGTTGAGCTGAAGCTTCTTCTGTCCCATCTAACCTCCCCACCTCCCTTCGCCAGCCTCCAGGAATTGAGAAAGAATCTCAATGGCATCAACTGTTTGGTCCAGGCAGAGATGTATAACTGAGTATCATCAGCATACATCATGCCGACAGATAACCTCACCCAGCAGCTTAATGTGGATATTAAATAAGAGCAGGGAGAATAGAGCCCTGTGACATCCTACAAAGGGGACTCAAGTTCAATCTCCCCTCCCTTATCAACCCTGACTTGAATCAGACCCAGAGAAAGGAGGAGAACCAACTTAATAGCATGCCTCCCACTCCTAATCCCCTAAATTGGCCCAGAAAGAGGCAGAAAATAAATGGTATTGAAGGCCACAGAGAGATCAAGGAGGATTATATTGTGAAGTTAGGCTACAGCCCAACTTCACAGTACTTATTCTGATCTTGTGCTAAGGTATGGACAGATGAGCATCAAACCTTTTCTTTAATGGAGACAATAGGTGTCTCAATCTGATACTGAAGAAAGTATATATATTTCTCTTTAATGAGGTTTGAAGTGTTAGATCCTACATTAGATTTCTTCATGATTTAAATATTCTATAAATTACTGTGTTATATAAATTACTGCTGAGTTGAGAGGAACAAATATTGGGAAGAAACAATTCATGAGATGAGATGTATAGGTGCTGAGGAAGGTCTTCAGCATTAATAGGTGGTGATGGATAGGATCATCTTCAACAAAGAAGAGCAAAATGTAGAAGAAAAAGATGAGGTCCTGATCATTTCACTTGGGACAAAATTTTTATTTATTTATTTATTTATTTATTTAATTTTTTAAAATTTGATTTATATGCCGCCCTTCTCCAGAGACTCAGGGCGGCTTATAATGCGTTAAGCAATAGCCTTCATACTTTTGTATATTTATACAAAGTCAGTTTATTGCCCCCATAATCTGGGTCCTCATTTTACCTACCTTAGAAAGGATGGAAGGCTGAGTCAACCTTGAGCCTGGTGAGATTTGAACTTGCAGTAATGGCAGGCAACAGATGTAAGTGGATGTTAATAACAGTGCTTTAGTCTGCTGAGCCACCAGAACTCCCTTCTACTTTGTATTTGAAGAATACAAGTTTTTCTAAAACTGCAGGTACATTTAAGTTAGTTTCACAGTTGCAGTGTCAATCTACATAATATCACAATGTATTAGTGTCCATTAAAAGTCTTACTGACAACAAAATAATCAAGGAGAAAAGTCAGTTTTATTTGATACATGTAGATTGCAATTAGTATAAAAATAGTTTCTAAAAAACTTATTGTGGTTTAAATTGTAACTGAAACACCAGATTCCCCATCTGCTGTGACTTAATTGCCAAAATAAAATTGTTTGTTCCTCCTTTTCTTCACAGCAAGTAATCTCAGCCTATCTGTCTAGTGCCAGACAGGCACAAGTTGTGGCTGACTACCAACAAAAGGCCTGAGTTAATTACTGTGTATAGTTTAACAAATTACCATTAAAACTTGAGTCGGTTCCATATAAATGCTTATCCGGTCTTCAAACAGTAGTTCACCAACTCCAGATTCCAGCAATGGGATTTAATCTCTAGTTCTAGCAATGGTTGATTTAATTTCTTCTTGGCAGAGCTGTATGAAATTGTATCACCGCTACACAGAGTACTCTGGCAATTTCCCAGGAGCATTTTGCACTTCGGCTTCAGCGCAGGAAGTGTTTCAGTAAGTCACTTTAACCAATTACTTTGTAACTGAAATAGTACATTGTTTAATGAAATTTTGCCAATTGGGTTGCCCTTCCAATAAAATAAGTAAACAAGGCCTGGGACTCTGTGTCCATTATAATATTACGCAAAGTGAGAAATTCTTAGGTTGTACTGTAAGGCCAGTTCAAATTTCACTTGCTGTCAAGTTATAGAAAGAAGGGTGTGAGCCATGTTTTCAATATAACCCAAAAAACATATATTACAAAGAGTTGCTTTTGTGATAGGTTGTTATAAAAACAATACTTCCTTTAAAGTACTCTGCATGCTCTTTCTCCTTGTGTCCATAAACTAGCATTTAGCAGTGGCTGATAAAATGCTGTAGTTATTGGTGTTAGTTTTACTGTATACTCTGTAATCTTGCTTTTAACACTGGTTTGTATGAATCAAATTTTACATGAATACCCATGTTAAGAGTCTCTCAGTGGCTTCATCTAGAACAGAGATGGGGAACTATGGTCCCTTTATGATTTGTGGACCAACTCCCAGAATTCCTGATCCAGCCATGCTGGCTCAGGAATTCTGGGAGCTGAAGTCCACAGGTCATAAAAAGCCCATAGTTCCCCAATCCAGATCCAGATCTAGAAATTGAAATATTGTCATAGATGCTCGTAAAGAATGGTCTCCAAAGTGGATATGGCTAGTCACTAGTAAATCATAATTTTTGCAAAAGAAGTGCAATAAAATTTATTCTGCTACAGGGAATAATTCTTACAACAGGAGAACCATGTGTGTGTAAATACTTGACCAAAGAAAATGAATGAGATAAATAGCCAAAAAGGCATACACACTTATTAAATCCCATTATATGCTAAATTAATATCATGGAGCATTAGATTGACATGGTATAAAAAGTAGGAAGAAAAGTGAGAAACAATGGAGAGGAGGAAATAGAGGAGGATCAAATGAGGGAATTGGGAATTCTAATAAAAAAAATAAAGGAATTTGAAGGTAGAAGTCAATTTCTTCCCGTATTCCCATTTTTCCAATGAGAACTTTTCACAATCAGATTACAAAATCTAAGCAACAGTAAAGAACTCTGACACATCTTTTGAGAATTTTGTTTAGAACTTTTATATACTATATTTTAAGGAAAACTCAATTGTTGTTTTCTTTCTGTATTTTTCAGAAACATTTCTGTGTTAATGCAGACTACAGCTTTAGAATTTCTCCAGCCCAAATGCTAACTGAGTCTGATTCTCCTCAGCTTTTTCAGATCAACCAGAACAGGTAAGTGCTGCCACCTAGCTGAGCCTCACTAGGTCATTTTTAAACAGCAGAATATAAACCACAAATCAAAAGATAAAGTTGAAAGGACAACTGAATACTCCTCTTAACCAGATATGATTACTTTTGATAACTGAGTGCATATTAAATCCTATGTATAACATTTTCTTGCAGACAAGGATATTCTCTCTAGAATCCCCATAAAACAAAGTTTGAACATATAGTGGAAAAGGCATTCAAATGTACATTTTTAATGAAGTATTATTTGCACAACTGGTTTAAATTACCAAAACCAGCCTCCATCCTGATAGCATATAATAGTAGTTATAAGGCCAAAATCCAAGCCTGATTTATAATAAAAATGTAAAGAATAACATTCTTAGTTTTAATGTGCAAAGGCTAAATAATACAGTACTATAATTATTGTGCTAACATTTCTCTAAACATTAAAAATGTCCAGTTATTTCTTATAATTTAATACATAATGAATTATTCATAGTTTTATATATTTACATAATGCAAATGCACCATCAGCTTTTAAGATAATAAACAAAGATAATTAAAAGCTGCGAAGCTTAATCTTCAAACCCTGACAATTAAAAAACGGTTTGGTACTTACCATAATGTGATTGAAATGCCTGTGGTTTTACGACCTGATTACAGTGGTTACACATCACCAAATAGAAATCATCATGAGCTGGGCAAAGACCAAATATTGGCATATCTAAAATAAAAAGGACAAAAAAAAAATATATCTCACTACTAATCAGAATCAGCATACAATTTATGTAAAAGTAATATTTGATGTTACCATAATAGAAACCCTGATATCGTATTTCAAAAACAGCAGGTAGCAAAAGCCCAAAGTGAGAAAATGAGCATGCAGTTATTCAACTATTTATATAAGCATTTCAAAAGTCACCTTGCTCCTCAGAAAAGCTCTGTGATTTCCAATTTAAAACACAATAATTTAACAAGATAAGATACTGTATACAGGAGAGTTAAGAATAGGGAAAAATATTTAAAAACCAAGACTGGAAATAAAATGTTGAAAATATTTTGAAAATTATTTAGCCGAACCACACAGGCAAAACACGTTAACCAATTTCCTAGAACTAAACATGAATATGCCAAATTAACATATTTACACTACATAATTTCCCCCCCTCAACTGGAGCTAGAAAGTTTCTATCCCAGGTCTCTTTTACTCCCTTTTTCTGAATGGTGAGAAAAATAGAAGGACCTCCAAGGAAGATCATCATATAAGACTTTCTCATATTTTACCAAATGTATTATATTTTCTTCTTCACCATAAATAAGATATTAGTTTGCTATAATTCACAAATAACTGAACAAGGAACAAATTTATACTATATTAAACAAAACACGCCTGGGCAGAATCTTTAATAATTAGTACAAAAATAACATACTGAAGCTATACTGAAAGTTGGCCAGTTTGTTTGTGATCCAGCTTGCACAAATGTAGGAAGTTAATTAGAATATTTATTAAAATAATATGCCAGCCATTTCGCTATCCATTTATAAATCTATAAAACACCTGTATGTAACAATGGATATTCTGGGCTTTGCTTCCTAGCACAAGCAGAAGAATTAGCTTTTAGTTTGACTGATCAGCATATTATAACTAAACCATCTAATGTCCCAGAAGTGTAATTCTTATTAGAGAAAGTGAGAGAAAATGAACAGAAAAATAAATGTAAAAAAGCAAACAAACCTCCATACTTCACTAACTTCCTATTTAGCATTTTTATTATTAATAAACATTAAATACCATTTAGTGTTTTAAATTAGATTTTCTTTAAAAATGTTATAAACTACTTGTCACATGGCTAAGATAATATGCTATGTAAAATCTTCGGGATAGAGATTCCAAGCTACATTTTACAAAAGAGTTTTTAATCTTTGTTCATGAACAACCCTTTGAGAGTTTAGCAAAACTCATGGACCCCCTTCTCAGAATAATGTAATTATATTTATAAAATACATACTATATATTTAATATGTGATATTACAAAGGAAACCAATTATGTCCAAATTCTAAATATTGTTATCACAATATTTAGAAATTACAAATATGAATATAATAATAAATATGTTTCTTTATTAATTCCAATAATTCATTAATAAGATATGGTTCATTTAGATGTCTGTGAATGCAATCATCTGCTGACAGTCCCCCTCCCCAAGATTATAGACCCCAGGTTAAGATCCCCTGCCTTCAAAGCTTACAACTAAGACAAATTAAAAATTGCTAACAAGTCGTCGTAGCTTCTGTCTCAGTATTTATTTATTTATTTATTTATTTGTTTAAATTTCTATACCGCCCTTCTCCAATGTAGGACTCAGGGCGGTGAACAGCCAAAGTAAAAACAAGACATACATACAAAACATACAAAATCTAAAATCTGTTTAAAATAATTAAATAATTTTGGCCGTAATTAAAACATTCCAATTTAAAATCCGTTTAAAATTTGACTCAAGCCAGCCCAGCTAGTTGAAATAAATGGGTTTTTAGGGCCCGACGAAAAATCCGGAGGTCTGTTATTGTACGTAGCTCTGGGGGGAGGTTGTTCCAGAGGGCGGGCGCCGCCACAGAGAAGGCTCTCCCCCTGGGGGTCGCCAGCCGACATTGTCTGGCGGACGGCACCCTGAGGAGGCCCACTCTGTGGGAGCGTACTGGCCGGTGGGAGGCTATTGGTGGCAGAAGGCGGTCTCGTAAGTACCCCGGCCCTAAGCCATGGAGCGCTTTAAAGGTGGTCACCAACACCTTGAAGCGCACCCGGAAGACCACCGGGAGCCAGTGCAGCTCGCGCAGGAGAGGTGTCACGTGGGAGCGCCTCGTCGCCCCCAAAATCCCCCGCGCGGCCGCGTTCTGGACCAGCTGGAGCCTCCGGGTGCACCCCAGGGGGAGCCCCATGTAGAGAGCGTTGCAGTAGTCCAGGCGGGAAGTGACGAGTGCCTGAGTGACTGTGCGTAGGGAGTCCCGATCTAGAAAGGGGCGCAACTGGCGTATCAGGCGGACCTGATAAAAAGCCCCCCTGGCCACGGCCGCCAAATGATCTTCTAACGACAGCCGTGTGTCCAGGAGGACGCCCAAGTTATGAGCCCTCTCCGTGGGGGCGAGTGATTCGCCCCCAATAGCCAGCGATGGCGTCAGCTGGCTATATCGGGACGCCGGAAGCCACAGCCACTCGGTCTTGGAGGGGTTGAGTTGGAGCCTGTTTCTCCCCATCCAGGCCCGCACGGCCTCCAGGCACTGGGACATCACTTTAAGGGCATCATTGGGGTGGCCTGGGGTGGAGATGTACAGCTGGGTGTCATCAGCGTACTGATGGAACTCCACCCCGAAGCCACGGATGATCTCACCCAGCGGCTTTACATAAATGTTGAACAGAAGGGGCGAGAGGACCGACCCTTGTGGCACCCCACAAGCAAGGTGCCTCGGGGTCGACCGCTGCCCCCGTCAACACAGATTGCGACCGGTCAGAGAGGTAGGAGGAGAACCACCGCAAAACGGTGCCTCCCACCCCCAACCCCGCCAACCGGTGCAACATGATACCATGGTCGATGGTATCAAAAGCCGCTGAGAGGTCTAACAGGACCAGGATAGAGGAGCAACCCCTATCCCGGGCCCTCCAGAGATCATCCACCAATGCGACCAATGCCGTTTCCGTGCTGTGCCCAGGCCGGAAGCCGGACTGGAGCGGGTCTAGATAGACAGCTTCATCCAGGTACCGGGGAAGCTGTTGCGCCACCACACTCTCAACAACCTTCGCAATGAAGCGAAGGTTGGAGACTGGACGATAGTTAGCCAAAACAGCCGGATCCAGAGAAGGCTTCTTGAGGAGGGGCCTCACCACCGCTTCTTTCAAAGCGGCCGGCAGGACCCCCTCACTCAAAGAAGCGTTAACAATCTTCTGGAGCCAGCCTCGTGTCACCTCCCGGGAAGCCAGTACCAACCAGGAGGGACACATTTAGATGGGGGCCTGCCTTGGAAGCCACAATTGGAACCTTAGACTGGGAAGTCCATTAAAAAAAATCTTGGAAGAATGCGATGGCAGGCTATTTTTGTAACTCTGCCAAGACAAATACCTAGATGCAGTCAACAGCAGACTAGTTCAACCTGAGAGTATCTTTATATATGTTGTGGTTCAGCAAACAGTCAAATATTTGGAACATTGTTGCATATTACTTTATAGAAATACCAAGCAGTTGTACAGGAATATAATCCCAATTTTCAGACTTTAAAACCGAAGTATTTTTTGAGGTTTTTCAAAACTTCTGTATCTTAAATCTCACACATAGAATAAAATGGACTTTTCTCTCCTAGACCCTATAGCCGTGATGGCGAACCTATTGCACGTGTGCCACAGGTGGCACGCGGAGCCATATTGGTGGGCACATGAGCTGAGCTCTGGCACGCATGCATGTCCCGGCCAGCTGACTTTCAGGTTTTCTGGGCCCACCGGAAGTCAGGAAAACAGTTTCCGGCCTCTGGAAGGCCTCGGGTGGGGGGTGGTGGGGTGAGGAAGGCTCGTTTTTCACTCTCCTCAGGCTCCAGAGCCTTTCTAGGAGCCTGAGGGCAAAAACGGCCTTCCCAACCCCCCTGGAGGGCCCCTGGAGGCCGGAAATAGCCCATTTCCTGACTTCAGATGGGACCGGAAGGCCCGTTTTTTGCTCTCCCTAGGGTCCACAGCCTTTCTAGGATCCTGGGATGGGCGAAAATGGCATTCTCCACCCCTCCGGAGGCCCTCCGGAGGCCAGAAATGGCCCGTTTCCCGACTTCCAGTTCCACTGGAAGTCTGGTGGCCCATCATGCCATTGCATGCCAAAAGCGGGGGGAGCGCAGGGGGGGGCACGCATATGCGTGTGGGGCGGGGCACATAGAATTATGGGTGTAGGCACATGCATGCACAACCCCCCCCCACAGTCCCACTTTTGGCACTCGCTGGCAAAATGGTTAGCCATCACTGCCCTATAGTGTAATTCATTACACTTTCTTCAAATATTCTAAAATAATATAGTTTTATATTTTTGCCTAAAGTTTGATGTTAGCACGTTTTGGAACTACATATATATTTTCAGATATAATTAATTAGAAAGAGGGATCAGTATATACTAATTTATATATATATATTGTGTGTAATTAAGTCCTATTATTATTATTTACTTTATTCACTAAACATGAAACTCAGTCAACTGAACATTCAAAAATGCATCACAAATACCATTGACTGGTGCTAATAGTTGATACGGGTTGCTGCCAGCATCCTAGGTGTCAACCAAGTACCTTCTTAAGATGTACAATGTTCCAAGTAGCGCAGTTTTTTGCAGTTCTGCTGGTGTTATTGCAGGAAGCGGCAATTTATTGATGTATCTTATAAAATTCTTGGACATGGTACCAAGTGCCCCGATGACAATGGGTATCACTGTTACATGCTTCATCCATAATCGCATAGTTTCGATGGCCTTGTCGCAAAATTTCATGATTTTTTCCAGTTCTTTTTCTTCAACTCTGGCATCTCCTGGTACCGCGATGTCAATAAACTGTATGTTTCGGTTTTCGACAACTGTGATATCTGGCATGTTGTGTTCCAAATGATTATCCGTCTGTATTCGAAAGTCCCACAAGATCTTCACCTTCTCATTTTCTATAACTGTATGTTCCCATGACTTTTTGGATACAGGTAAATCGTATTTTTT